TACAATAAATTTAAGGGAATAAAATTATAAATAAAATTGAAAAAATATATTTATTTTAGGCTGATCTTAGTGATTATACAACATCGTATATTTTAAAACGGTATTCAAAGAAAAAAGCCAGAAATACTAGACTCACTGACTGAGACATCTTTGATAGATAAAGAAAACAAAAAGGTCCTAGAAAACATAGGGATTGAAGAAAGCGAACTTTTAAAGAGATAGTTAATAGTAACTTAAAAGTAACATTCTAAAACTGCCCAAAACTAAATATTCCCCAGAGTTAAAATGTTTCGCCCTAACACTTAATTTATTCTCACCAAAAGATACGCTATGTATGTAAAATTATTGGAACATGCCTGCACCACTGACATAGACTAAGTGGTACAGTACCATCGATGGCCGACCAGTTTCACTGACGGCATTAAAATTGAGAGGGGAGAGTAATCCTAATATTAAAATTTATTTACCTTTGTCATGGATGAAATAAAAATTGAGCAATTGGCGGAATACCACGATAGCAGCCAAAGGCATTATGGCTATGTCGAATACGGGTTTGATTTCATATCCGATAATTCCGATGAAGCTACTGACGCTTTAGTGTTTTTATTGGTCAATATAAACACAACATGGAAGGTACATATAGCCAATATTTTGATTAAGGGTTGGAAAAAGGGCTGATATATTTTCTTGATCCTTTCCACATGCTTTAATGAGTGCGTAGTTTTGATCAACATTATGGAAACTCATTTCAAAATAAAAATCGAATTCAGTGGTCAAACATCTAAAAAGTCCAAAAATTACAGGAAGAAGTATTATTTTATATGTGGATGGGCGGCGGGCCTAAGGATTCCCGAGTTCGATGCCCAGGTCGAGCCCTGACCCTATTGTGCGAGATGTTATACTAGGTGGACTGTATACGCGGTTGGCTTCTTATGCCTCAACAATATGGCGGACGTGGCACGCGGCACCTTGGACAATGCACTCGCTCTTTCAAATCTATTGCTTACCAAGGTTAGGATGGAATTCTACTTGAGCACATTAGGAGAAACAAAATGGGGCGGGTTAACTAACAAGCAAAATGCTCAAGTAGGAGCAAAATTACAGGAAAACACACTTACCGGGGTGTGATTCTGATGCGGCGGACGACGCTTCCGTTGCGGTGATGCGACGTGAGGTGGGTTCCCCCTCGAGTTTTTATTGCCTCGGCCTTCCCACTAAGCACCTCGGTCGGGCTCGCTTCTCATTGGTCGAAAGAATCGCGTCACCTTCTAAACTCCCCCCTTTCCCCTTTCAGTGTGTACGGAAGGGACATAAGGTCAAAGGATGGTCACTGATCAGTCGTGTCATGACAAACATTGATCCTTATTGGTTTTCCCAATATACAATTTATAAACGATTCATTTTGAGATATTTGGAAATGATTTTCGGTTGAAAGTATTTCTCGTAGTAGATACATCTAAAATCTACTAAAACAATGCTGGATTAATTTTAACAAAGTCAACAATTTATAACAATTTATCTAGCTATATAAGAGTTCAAATTTCACTTTAACAGCACGAATGTATCTTTATTGTATTTTGAAAATAATTTCTTTATTTGTTGAGTTTCCTCCAAAAATTATTTTGTATCTATCTTAATCTGGAATCAACCATAGAAAGCAGTGAGTAAAGCATATATTATGTTTAGTAAATTTGTTAATTTACAAAGCCTTATCAATGTGTACTTTTTAGTTCAATCTTTCTTATGATAGATTGCGGTTCCCTTATGCTTAAGGTGAATCCCTGACCAAAATGTTGCGAAAGTGCGTTTTTCAGACTCTATTATCTCATTAGTTATGAAAAATAAACTACATCTAAAAGTACATTATTAATGTTCGATATCTTATCATCACATTACACGTTCTAATTTATTTTTATGTGCTATAAATACATTTAAAATCAACTTTTAAAAAATGACTAAAATTCTTGATTACATGCATCTGTTGCTAAACGCAACGCTCTAATCATTTGAGGATAACACTAATGGATAGATAATTAAAAAATCTATATTCTCCACGTTTTATTTAAATTTTTAAGTTCGTTTTTTCTCTTTTAATTGAAATAATTCCGAAAATTGTGTGACTTCTATGATAAAGGGGCGTGCGCAGAGTGCGGGCGGCATTACGCTGTATGCGTTAGTAGGAGGTGGCCGCGTCGCTGGTCGCCGCGGTCCGTATTTCACCGCAAACAAAATATTATTTGAGTACCTACCAACCGATGCGCTTACGTCACGGTATATTGTAACTCGGCCGTATCTTAGAAATAAATATTACAGCCGTGCGGTACGTAAACATGCGATAGGGCTGCTGCCTCCAGTATTTTTACATTTGCCCATTGATTTATGTGTTTTATAACTCAATGCATTTTCCTACTTTGTGTTTCCATTTAGTTTTATGATAATTGTTACATAAATATACTTTTTTATATAAACAAATAATAGGTACTTTGTGAATTGAATAGGAAGTGTTCAATAAAAATGCGTGTCGTTTTATGATTGGTAGATTTAATTAAAAAACCATGTTTATGTTTGAATAACAAATCGGTCTTATAAATTTGCGGCCGAAAAATATTTGCGCCTCGGCTGAGACGTACGAAATGCTTTATTATTAAAATTTTAAATATAAAAAATCCGCATTATAATATAAAGCTTAATTAAAAATTGTTTTGGGAAACATGGACAACTGAGTAAAGGAATATCTTTTACTTGGTTATAGATACCTGCAGCTATTTTACAATTTATATGTTTGGTTTTAAATAAAGTTTGGATTTATTATTTTTTTATTTCGATTCTATTGAAAGTAGGAAAGGAAATATCCACCGCGCTGCCCCACTGCGTGTTGGCGAACTTTGCATGTCTTCGAAATATTATTTTTCTTATTTCTCAGACATGCAGGTTTCCTCACAATGTTTTCCTTCACCACTGAGCACGTGGTAAATCAACACTTAAGCATTACAATATTATTGGTGCCGGCGGGGATCGAACCCGGTTTGCTCGGACACTGTGAAAATTTTAGCAAGCGCTAACCATCTGAACTACCACGGCTCCTCTCCTCTCGAGCTAGAGACTTTATTTTATTTATCGTCAGGCCTGTTGGTCTAGTGGTTAGTGACCCTGACTGCTATGCCGCAGGTTTCATTCCACCCAGGACAAATGTTTGTGTGATGAGCACGATCATTTGTTCTGTGTCTGGGTGTAATTTATCTATAATATTTACGTATTTAGAAATATATAAGTATGTTTATCAGTTGTCTAGTACCCATAACACAAGCTCTGCTTAGCTTGGGACTAGATGGCGTTGTGTGATATTTGTGGAATATTATTATTCATTATATTATTATTGTTGGGGTATCTGTATAGTTTTCTCATCTGGATGGTTTTTATAAATATAAATTAAAATGAAAAGAAAATATACATAAATATCAATAAAATAAAATAAATACAAAAAATATACAAATAAATAAAGATCCAACCATATTAAATAAAAAATAGTCTCCTATCTTTCTCTCTATGTTTTGATCTCCTAAAACGAGTTTGAGTTGGTAAAATCAAGACAAACTTAGGGTAGGGTTGTCAATAATTATTTTGATAATAAAACTAGTGAAATTCCGCGGTTTTATATGCGCAAGCGTGAATGTAGTTAGAACATAATATAACCTTTATATTTTACATAAATATCCTAAAAAACTTATTATTTTAATATTTTACTAAGTACCTATAAAATTAACAAGTTTATTGCATTTTTATTGAGTAATTTTTTATGCAATACGTCAGGAAAAAAACCACAAAAAAAAATAAAAAAACTGCTACAATATAAGAAGGTAAATTTCGACTAATCATTAGCGGTCGTTATAGCTCAGGTGGTATGTCGGTCGGGCGTGATATCGGAGTTCCGTGGTTCGCGTCTTGGCTTTGGTCCCGCTTTTTTTTCCTTTTTTTTCAAGTTCCCTTATTTTGTAAGAAAATCTATTATTTTTATTCCTTTTTTTTAGTAATTTTTAAAAATACGAAAATTTTAATTTTAAAAATTAAAAAAAAATATCTATTTAGTTACTAATGCTATATTTATTATTTTAACAATTACCTACCCAATAAGTAAAAATTAAAATAATGAATAGCATTATAAACAGTAAATCTCCCTCAAACTCAATTTACTAATATTGTTCCTAAATAAGGAATAGCAGATAAAAGATTAGTAGGTAATAACTATTGCTCCTCAAAATTATATTTGACCTCAAGGTAAAACATATCCTAAAATTCAGTAGCTAAATAAAATAATAATAACTACTATTCAAGTATATTTTCAATATGTAAGTAAATGAAAATAACAAAAATGAAGCACCATTAGCATGTAAAGTTCGAATCCATAATTAATATTTCGACAAATATTATAATTTACACTATAAAAAGCTAATTCAATATTAGCAGTATAGTATATAGTTAAAAATAATCAAAATAGTCATTTTTATTAATTAGATAATATATTAGAATACATAATTCTAATATAATGCAACTAATATACCGAATAAAGAAAATTAAAATACATTTATCATTGTACGCCGTGTCTATTTCCATAGAAGAGTTCATTGACATTGAAAAAATAATACTACGTTCGTAGCAGTAGGTGGCGTCTTTTGGCGATTTCTTACGCGATATATTGTAGCGAGCGTCGACAGACCAAACGCTCAAGGTCGTTCGCTGGAGGTAGCGCCTTAATGTAAAATGTTCAAACCGGCGACGGGGAGTATGAAGTGTGAAAGGACTACTCGTAGTACTGGCAGTACTGCGATCAGCAATTCTGTACGCGAGAGACTTATGACCAACAGTGGAATTTTTTCAGTCGATGAAGATTAAGAAATTAAAGACAAGTTATACAAAAACATATTTATTTAAAAATACAATCTAGATATATTCAACAAAAAACTAGTATTTTTCAAATCCACCTTATATTAGCTATTTTTATTTTATTTTAGTTTAGTAGAAAATGATGTAGGTTTCTTTCCATCCATCCAATTTCTGAGTGCTTCTTTAATTGATTCAACGTAAGACGCAACGGCTGGGAAACGTGAGTACAGAAACCAAATGAAGAGACCTATGAGCAAAATTTTTGCCACTATGTCTACTATGTAGCGGCTGAAAAAAATTATTTAAATTATGAATTATTACGTTTTTTTTAAAGAATATTAACATTAAAATTATATATTTACGTTTATATACAAATATTCTGAGACCCATGCCAACAAACCAAGTTCGCATTGGGTGGCTAATTGTATTTATTTTCTTAAAAACCTACATAATCAATTTTAATGAAAATGTACAAATTAAATTGGTTTTGAGACGATTTCAACTTTTCTTTTTCTCGTTACATTGAAAATTTGACAAAAACTTTATATTTTTATACAGTAATTTCCTTTAAGATCACGAGGTGGCGATATTGGAATGTTCCAATACTTTGATGCTACATATTTAAAACTATATCTTCTGTTGATGGTGCCAACGAGCAGAGTTGCCAAGTGTAGCTTGTAACAAAGCATAATTTTCATTAAGCATGCCTTGTTAAGATATAAAGTTACCTGCAAGGGATCGTGGTGTTATCTTATAACAATAAAGCGCACAGGCATTTTGTACACTCTGAATCATAATTAAGTTTGTTATAATTTCATAGTTAGTCATCATTAAGCCAACGAAGTCCTTAGAATCAAATAACTGACGTACCCAACGAATATTAAAGGAATCTTATTTTGAGAAGGCTAAGAATTGTAAATTTGATTCATCATTATTTAGTTTCACGGAATAAGTCATTATTTACAGAAACAGACACAGAACAGAAACTTTTTTATTCAATGTAGATTATAACAATACTTAATGAAAGTCACTTTTTTCATTTACTACTGGTTCGCAAAAAAAACCTTTGTCCTGGGAAGAACCAGCAAGAAACTCAGCGGGACTATTTTTTTCCAATAATAGCTTACAATTATGTTTACAATAAACAACACAAGACAAATTAGAAATAGCTTGGTAGCGATCACCCTTCCCAGGGGTTATTATCATCCATAAATTCCTTAATATTATAATAACCCTTTTTATACAAACTTAGTTTAGTAACATTTTTGAACTTCGTGTATGACAAATTTTGTATATTTTCTGGGATTTTGTTGTAAAAGCGTATACATGGCCCCAAGAATGAATTACTGAGTCGATGGAGTCGAGTAACTGGTACTACTAGCTTGTGTCTGTTCCTAATATTTACAGAATGAATATCACTTATTTTCGCAAAACTACTTTTATTTTTGTGCACGTACATTACATTTTCATAAATGTATTGAGAGGCTAGAGTTAATATATTAATTTCCTTAAATTTTTGTCTCAGTGACTCTTTTGGTTTTAAATTATATATTGCTCTAATGGCCTTTCTGTAAAATAAATATAATTTCAGTGTCAGTTGCGTGTCCCCATAGCAAAATACCATACGACATAATGCTATGGAAATAACTAAAGTAAACTATTCTAGCTGTTTCAACACTGGTAAGAGTTCTAATCTTTTTCACAGCATATGCTGCAGAACTAAGTCTGCTAGATAGTTTTGATATATGGGGAAGCCATTGAAGCTTTGCGTCTAGTGTGATTCCAAGAAAAATGGTGGTATCAACAAGACTCAGTTCCCCCCCCCCATTTAAAATTACATTAGTATTGATAAGTTTAACATTAGGAGTTACGAATTTCATACATTTAGTTTTAGTTCCATTCAAATGCAAATTATTAACATTAAACCAATTGACTAACTTAGCTATAGCATATTTACTTCGTCGTAATTTGATAACTGTCGTTTTAATTTGAAAATTAATGAAATATCATCAGCAAATAATACTATATCATGGTTATCCCCTACTATGTAAGGTAAGTCATTAATGTATACTAGAAATAGAAAAGGGCCGAGAATTGAGCCCTGAGGCACGCCCCTTTGTACAATCGACCCAGAAGAACTCATACTATTAATGACAACTTTTCGCGTTCTGTCACTTAAATATGAAATAATTAATTTAAGAGTATCGCTCTTACACCGTAGTGTTTAAGTTTCCTGATTAATGTTTCATAGTGAACACAATCGAAGGCTTTGGATATGTCACAGAATACACCCAAAGCATCCTGTGAATTCTCCCATGCATCAAATATATGTAATATGTAAACTACGTGCAGAACTCAGCCAAAGTTTGAAAAAGATTACCAAATATAGCAGTTAAGGTGGTTTTTCTATTTCACACATTTCTTTAAGTTTTACAGATTACAAATCAAATTTTTCGTATATTATTTTTGACTATATGACCTTGAATTGGATAAAAGTAAAACACGATATCATGTAATTTTCTCGATAGAAAAAAACTGTAAATTAGGCTCTAATTAGTTACATTTCTCCATGCCACCACAATATTTTTACGAATAAGTCTATGGAAATATTTTGAAAGCATTGTAAATATTCATTTCTAAGTTCTCAAAACCATTTTTTAGACATAAGATAGTTTTCTTAAAAGAAATAAAAAGGTTGTGTGGTGCTTATTTAGTTTACATATTACATTATTTATATAGTAAATATTTCCAAGCGCGTGCTCGGTATAGCCACAGAATAAATAATAGTACTACGTACAGAAGTTGCACTCCTTTGATTTCAACTGCTTGCCGACGTTTAATAGCCTACGTAATTATTATTAATCAGATAAATCGCTCACGCAAGCTAAATAAAACTTTATCGCGCGTTATATGCGCGTTAGTGTCCGTATTACTTTTCATCTTTTGCAATTCCTAAGTCACGGCGGACTTTCCGTGGTTATTAAGGGAGGTCAATAGAAAGTAAAAAATACATTGCGAAATGTTAATTATGTTACTTGGGTGAAGTACCTATTCTGACTATGATCGACTACCATACTTTCGCCCCTATGTGAGTTCTGCGATGCCTAACGCATGAAAATTGCAAGGTCATTCGTCGGGAATCGCAACGCTTGGTTTGGAAGAAATAGGTAGATAGTATAAACAACAAATAAACCTGAAATACGATTCCTAACAGAAATGTGATCTATTCTACTTACTTAAAAATCTTCTTAGTATACAAAGCTTTAATTTCAGTATTTTGTGTACACACATTATAACTTACAATATTTTAATTACAAAATACAAGTATAGGTATGTATGTAAGTAAATACTTGGATAGTGAATTAAATTTTAACTAATTTTTGTAACAAAGTACTTAGGTATTTCTTCTGTAGACCAAATTATTACTTAATTCTTTTTTGCTGAAAGTACCTATCTAACAAAAAAATTAAATAAATTCACCTTTCATAACTTCCTTCTAAAATTCTTCGGTAACTTAAAGAATGATATGAAACCTTTTGTTGGTCATTTCATTTATTATCCATCCACGCAACAGTTATAGTAGCAACGACGTTTTGCTATTATTATTTATCAAATAGGTAATATACATAATATATAATTTTTAAAATACACTAAAACTTTTACAACTGTTTTACCTACAATTAAATATACCAAACACTAAACAAAAACTATTTCAACAAGTATTTACATAAAACTATTTACGTAAATGGCGTTAAAAATCTTTAACATTGAATCGCCTACAACGCGCTAGTCCCGACTGCGTATAACGCCCAGGGTGCCTCGCGATTTTAGATAATTATTTCACGCAGGTAGCAAGAGTGACAGAGGCCTGGTATAGCTATATCATAATTTGCGTACATGGAGTACATTGCCTCACTGTCATTTTGACACTCCCTCAGTCGTCCGTGATCTTCACCGACAAAGAGCTAAGCCACGCCCCCAAAACTACGATAATTGTTCGAAGTATCCCCTTAATGACTTGTTTTTTTTCACAATATTAGATGTGGCACAGTACATAACAGAAAGATGGAATAATAGTCCATCTATCTGATAACGTGAAATTGGCCACAATAACATAGGCCATGTAAAATAAAACGTAAAAGAGACGAATGAGCAAATAGTCAACCTGATGTAGGGTAAGTGGCCGCAAACCCGCAGGCCTATATGTTTGAGAATACTCACTGGAGCGTGTAATAGATAACCATGAATTTTCATTCTCATCTCTATATTTTTGCCTGTAAATTACTGTAAATCCTGTGCAGATGGCATCTTTTGATTACTATTCAGACCCAACCCATATATTTCAAAATCCATATCACACTTTAATCTATTTGATATATAAATACAATACAATAAATAAGTATAATATACAATAATTTATGATATCACTTACATAGTGTTTAACTTTCTAGCACGTGGTAGGTTTGCAGGGTCATCATTACAAACATAGTGTCTAGCTCCTAGAACGTAATCCTTTACATATTCGTCACGGTTCACCATGCTAACATCCGTGAAAAACATCTCATTCTCCTCTGTGCTTATCCTATTTTGTAACGATAGGAAGTTTGTGTTCCTGAAGTACCATTCTTTTGTAGTGTAATACTGAAGGACGCCGAGGCCATGATTGATACGCCTTTGAGTTTTGATTAAGCTAAAATTACAAATTCAATATGAAATTACACAAGTTTTTGCCACCGGCACAAAAACGACTCATTATGATTTCTTTAAATAAATAAAGACCCTACTCCTTACCCTAGCAATAATACGTAACAGGGCCATGACTGCTGTTGAAGTCAAGATGTGCATGTAAATAACAGGACTATCAGGAGGGCTCATATCATGGCCACAAGACTTGCACATGGCCCAGAGCTTACCAGGCAGCATCGAGTCAGCAGACTTGCACATGAACATGTGAATTGAGATACGGACCAGTGGAGGCAAGTACTGTTTACAGATGAGCCCTGATTTTGCTAACGAGTTTTGTTTGTCGGACATTCTTTGCCAAATAATAACATAAATAACTCCTATCAATAATAGATGATACCAAAAAAAATTCTGACTATTAATCATTCAAAATTCAAAGTGAGTCGTTTTTTGTGCCTGTCAGTGTAAATAAATCTTTATTTAGGACCTATCTTTTTTGTTGTATATATATTTGGTTAGTAGATAACTTAAGTCTATGTTAGTATATTTTGGAGTTAAAATAAAAAAATAGATATATTTTGGATATAAAATCAATAAAAAGTTATAATAATAATATGCGGAACCATGGTGGGCTTTTTAAGCACTCTCACCGTACATAATCGCGAAGTATGCAGTCTCCGTAACTACTTCCAGACGAGATCGGATCATTCCACAGAAATCTAAATAATAAGGCAATAGAAATGCCTTCTACTGTCTTTTAATATCGGGACGCGTGTCGCCAGGCTCTCACACATAGACAAACAATAAATACACAATTACGCCTCAACGCCCTATAAGCTATTGCGTTAAGGAATATTTTATAAAACCGCAAAATCTCAGGAGGCGTAGTCACTTGGTCCAATAATTAAAGTGTGTGAAAAACAGAGAACGACATTGCGCGCTCGCTCTTACTTGGGTATAGAGCAGCCCAACAGACGTTTCGATAACTTTCTATTAAGCGTCGTTCATCTTCCAGGAGTCTCAGACCAAGATAAAACTAATTAACTGAAATTGTCTCAGTAATAGACGATTTAGCTTTTAGACGTTTTATAATTAGAAAAAAAAGTGGAAATAATAATACGTTAAGAATAAATATATCCATTTATCTTTAATAACCGAATCTTTTGGAAACTTGTAATAAAAGAATTGAAAAATATTACACATACAGTAAACGAATAAATATATGTATGGGTGACGTATTTATCATTTTTATTAGTTTTAAACATCTGTAACTGACTTTCTGTTGTTTGCTACTTTTCAGTTTCCCGGCTTCTTACAGATCGAATTAAGACAAGATCCTTACAATATAATTACTTTTCTTTACAATATAACTGATTAAAAATTTATCAAGTAATTCAAAAGTACAAACAAACAGATAAATGCCGTATTAAATATTTAGAAAGAAAAAAAATAGAAAGATGTAAATAAATATTTAACGAGAAATCACGTTTAAATCCCGTTTCGTTAAAACTAGGTAAGCCAAACATAATAAATTATCGATACAAAATAGTTGTGTCACGTAACTCACTCGCATTCGACTCCCGCGGACATGTTCTGGGAAATTTACGTACGCAACAATTTTGTTTATTGCCCATACTATAAATCCATCGCTGATTTTAGCTGTCGCACTCGTAGATATGAACTAACTTAGGAATCAATGGATATTGAAATTTGTAAACAATTAAAATTTCGGATAAAATCGTAGTACTGGATGTGGATAATTTTATTTAAGTATATTTCATTAAACACAACATTATTTAAAACACTAAGTACTTATTTATGAAATGTTATCCCTTTATTTGAAAATTTGCAAGTTGTGGAGGAATTTCCACAGTTGGATATTCTTCAAAACAACATTTTTACGTTTCTGCGGCCAACAGTAGGGGGAGGCGGGGCAGTTTGATGCAAGGGGCAGATTGACTCACCTAACATGTATCCTAAGGGATTCGATGTAATCGAGTCGTGACAACACTATAACTTGTCTATTCCTATCCTAGCGCCGCACTTGCAGCCGCGCCGCCATACAGTTAACCGATGGCGTTAGACGAGATCATTTGTATTTTGTGTTCGCCATACTAAAAAAACACGCGGAATGAAAAATAGTTTCACTGACTTTCTACAACTCCTTCGAAATATTTATGAAAACGAAAGGTGAGCTATTCTATCCATAAATATCAGTTTAATGCTTTTTACTCAATAAATCAACATAAATAAATATGATGTTAACGTTTTACAAAAACTTCTGTTGGGGCACAATGATACGGTAAGGTCTGGGGCACTTTGATGCGTATCATTCTGTCCCAATGTAAAATTTTGTAACTAATCATTAATTTGAAGATAATCAAGCAACTTCGTCTAAATCATACAGTTCTAAATACACTGATGCTCATGTATTTTCAAAACAAGAAGAAAAGATGCTTACAAAATATTTGTTTAACTGTAGCAAAATGAACTACGGACGTAAGGACATTAAATCAACTTTTGGTTTTGGCCTATGAATTTGCCGGATACTCAGGTGTCAAATATCCAGAATCATAAAAGGAAAATAAATATGCTGGGAAAGACTGGTCAATAGGGTTTAGAATGAGGAACCAGGAGCTTAGTCTCACAAACCCAGAAAACACAAACGCAGCACGAAGTTTCTCATTTAATAGAATAGCAGTGAGTGGTATAAGTGATTCTTTTAAATCAGCGGGAAGTTCCAGCGAAGGGCTGCAGGGTCAACCAATTTTATTTATACTGATTTGTATCGAAAGAAAACTATTTTTTTTTTGTGTTCAATTATGGAAAGTTTCTATGAATAAGATATATAGTTAAAATAACGCGTTAAATTAAGAAATGTGATTTATTCATATAACTGTAAGGCTGATTGTGATCTCTGAACAATAAAATATTATTAGCATACTAGTCTTTCAAATTAATACTAATTCCGTACAACTTTTAGTTAGTATCAAAGTACCCCAAGTAGTGTATCTAAGTGCCCCGTAGGTGGGGCACAATGATACAAATCCCTTTTATTATTAAAAGCTTTATATTTCTTTTATAAATTAATTAGACAGTTTTTGTGAACACTTTTATAATATTTATAGATTTATCAATGCAGAAAACATAAAAAATTTACACTTCAACGTTATTTCAGTACTTAAAAGTGACTCTGAAATTTTTAGCATCAATCTGCCCCACTTCCCCCTACTGGTGACCCAAACAAACGCTCCTCGCGCGCTTGTGGCCTACGAGTCACATGTGCGGCGACAAGGTCACGCGCTTTTACGACTTCTATTTATATTTAGATTTCTGTGGATGATTCATTCTACAGGGACGTCATTTCATGTCATAAAGGGCTTACCCCTCTATCCTTAGCCAACGAGCAATGGCAAAACCCGACAGTACAGAGTATTTCCGACCGTGAGACCGTATGGAGGCAAAAGGAGCTCCACGGGAGGTTCTACAAGGCGAAACATGAGCCTTTCGTAGATACAGTTGCCTCCCTCCACTAGCTACGTTTCGGTGACCTCTTTGGGGAGACCCAGGGTTTTGTCTGTGCGATACAGAATCAGGTTATTAAGACCATCAACTATCGGATATACATCCTAAGGGATGGCACCGTTAACATCTGTCGAGCTCATACAGTTTAATTCGTCATACTCTTGGCTTACACCAGTGACCTTCAGGATTATTTATGGCAGTGGTAGTTTATGGAAAGGTTCGTTACGATCATATATATCTTATATATCTTAGGTTTGCACTGCCGTCAATATATAGATAGATAGTAAACCATGTTTTACGGACTTAGCATGTAAATGATTTGATGTAAAATTGTATTATTTTCAAAATCGAAAAGTTTTTTAAATCTTTGTTGAATACCACTCCCTATAAGTCTGATTTGTAAATAAGTCCTTCAGTTACCATCTTGCTATATAGGCCCATTCTAGTTATTATAGAATATATCAGGAAAGCCTATATATTGTGTCTGGCTACTACGGAACCCTGCCTCTACGAGTAGGTTCCATTGTGCGTGCTCCGGCACGCAATTGACCAGTTGTTTTGATTAATTCTTCATCTTCTGCCGATTCTTCATCTTTTGCCAAATCTGATCTGATGAATCTGTTTTGTTTACTGTTTTCGGTAGCATAAAGTGTAATATAGACTATATAATTCACTATTGTATCTTGTGTGAATAGCGAATTAATTCTATTAATGTGCAAAAGGGGTCAATTTTACTAAGTAACAAAATGTTCAATATAAGAACATTTTAAACTTTAAACGAGTATGTTTACCTGGGACAAATAGCACGACTAGGTAAGTCCAACTTTGACCGAGAGGTCATTCGACGGATTCAACTCGGTTGGGCAGCGTTCGGGAGATTACGACAGATCTTCTCGTCAGGCATACCTCAAAACCTCAAAACTAGATTGTACAACCAGTGCGTGTCGCCAGTGATGACCTATGGATCTGAGACGTAGTCCTTCACTGGCCGTATGAGGAAGCTCAAAGTCACTTAGTGAGCTATGAAGAGGGCTATGCTGGGAGTTTTTCTGTGTAATAAACTTAGGAATGAGGATATCCACAGTAGAACCGGAGTGACCAACATAGCCCAACGGATTAGTAAGCTGAAGTGTGAATGAACCGGCCATAGAGCTCGAAGAACTGATAACCGATGGGGAAAAAAGGCTCTCGAGTGGCAGCCTCGTACCGGCAGGTGAAGTATAGGCCGTCCCCCCACTAGATGGAGTGACGACCTCGTAAAACATGCAGATGGCTTAGGACCGTGCTTTGCGGCATTCCTTGGAGGAGGTCTGTTCAGCAGTGGACTTGTGAAAGGCTGTAATGATGATGATAAATGAAACTTTAAGTTGTATCTGATTATAGGTGTTTACTGAAAAAATCAAATTATCATGATTATTTGATGAATATTAACTACATACTTTAGCCACTCGAATGTCGGGGTCATTTTGGCCAATATGGCGCATGTTTCGAGCACTTTCCGAAGTACTAAGTAAGTATATAATATATATATATATATATATATATATATATATATATATATATATATATATATATACTAAGTGACTATATTAAAATTATATATCCATGGAAGCGTTATTAAATAAGCTATCAGATTATGCATAACAGATATATATGTTATATATAGGTATGTTATATACATCTTATATATGTTACAAATAGTTAGCTATCACTCGACGCCATATTATGGCGTTTGACATATGCACAATTTTATTTGAGACGCCACAATATAGCGTTTGGACACACGAGGGGTTATGACTTTAGTGATTAAATTTATTTACACCAAATGCTACATTTTTAACACATGTTTAAAAATATTACAAGAGTGTGAGGAAAAACTGTGCAGTTTTTTTTATAAGGTGGGTGGACCATGGCCCAAATCCCCCCCCCCCATCAACATGGTAGCGGAATTAAATAATGATCGACTACCCCAGGAGGGTACCAGCACCCCTGGAGAATCCCTCGCTGAGCATCCACGACCATGTTTCTCCACTTCTGAGCGTGGTGCTCAGGCTGCCCCGCGTATTCTGGGGGGGGCAAAATTCCGCTCAAGACTACAACTGCTCGGGGCAAACGGAGCAACAAGACCAAGGCGACCCCTGCCACGCTGTCCGTGAATTTCTGCAATATCAGGGGACTTCACTCTAACCTAAACGCCGTCCACTACCATCTCGAGACGGCGAGGCCGGCTCTGCTCTTTCTGACCGAGACGCAGGTGTCCTCTCCGGCTGATGTCTCGTATCTCTCCTACCCGGGGTACAAACTGGAACACTCCTTTGTGCCTCGGGCTGGAGTTTGCGTTTACGTCAGAGAGGACATCTGCTCTCGACGCCTCGGCAGACTTGAAGGTTCGGACCTGTCCATCCTTTGGCTACGCGTAGACAGCGACGACCATCCGCGCGTCTACGGGTGCCTCTATAGGTCCCATAGCGGTAATGCCGAAACAGACCGACTATTCGACCACGTCCAAATGGCTGCAGATTCGTTGCTACAGCAGATCCCCTCCGCAGAGATCGTGATCCTCGGCGACTTTAACGCCCATCACGCCGAATGGCTTGGTTCAAGTTTAACCGATCATGCGGGGAGATCTGTTCATGATTTTGCCTTGGCATATGGTCTGACACAATTGGTTACTTCGCCTACGCGGATTCCAGATGTGGAGGATCATGCACCTTCCCTGTTGGACCTTCTGCTGACCTCTCACCCGGACGGATATCAGATATCCGTCGACGCCCCTTTAGGCTCCTCGGACCATTGTCTTGTCCGGAGTGTGGTGCCACTCACGCTGAAATCGCGGTTGCATTCTGCAGGCTGCCGCCGTGTTTGGCACTATAGGTCAGCCGATTGGGATGGGATGCGGTCTTTCTTTGCATCCTACCCTTGGGGGCGGGTTTGCTTCTCGCCGGATGATCCCAACGTTGTTGCGGATTCTGTCGCTGATGTGGTACTTCAGGGTATGGAACTTTTTATTCCTTCCTCTGTGGTGCCCATTGGAGGCAAGTCTCAGCCATGGTTTGGTCGCTCCTGTAAAATAGCATCATGCTATAAGCAGGAGTGTTACCAAGCCTGGGCTGATGCATCAGCGTCCCGGGATGTAAACACCAGCGCTCTAAAAAAGAAGTATAATTCCGCCTCTAGGTCCTTCAAAAGAGTCATTGCCAAGGCAAAGTCAGAGCACATAGGCAGAATTGGCGAGAAACTAGTTCGCCTTCCTTCTGGAACCCGTGCATTCTGGTCTCTCGCCAAGGCTGTCCAGGGGAATTTCTGTCAGCCATCTCTTCCATCTCTGCACAGGGAGGACGACTCACTGGCCCATACCGCAAAGGAGAAAGCCGATCTTCTAGGCTCTTTCTTTGCGTCTAACTCGACTCTCGATGACGGGGGGAGTACTCCGCCGACCATCCCGCGGTGTGAGTGCTCCATGCCGGAAGTGCACTTCACACAGCGCTCGGTTCGCAAAGCACTCCTCTCCCTGGACATCCACAAGTCGAGTGGGCCTGACGGAATCCCCCCAATTGTGCTGAGGACGTGTGCTCCAGAGTTGGCACCGGTTTTAACGCGTCTTTTCCGGTACTCCTACTCCCTAGGCGTAGTCCCAAAATCATGGAAGACGGCTTACGTCCACCCGATCCCTAAAAAAGGCGACCGCTCTGACCCGTCCAACTACCGGCCAATCGCCATCACCTCCTTGTTCTCCAAAACAATGGAGTCCATTGTAAACTGCCAGCTCATGAGGTACCTTGAAGATCACCAGCTGATTAGTGACCGCCAATACGGTTTTCGCCGTGGTCGGTCAGCTGGTGATCTTCTGGTCTACCTAACTCACAGATGGGCGGAGGCAGTAGAGTTCAAGGGGGAGGCATTGGCCGTTAGTTTGGACATTGCGAAGGCCTTCGATCGGGTTTGGCACAAAGCGCTTCTTTCGAAGCTCCCTTCCTATGGGCTTCCCGAGAAATTGTGCGATTGGATCACCAGCTTTCTTGCAGATCGGAGCATCAAGGTCGTTGTAGACGGTGCAAGCTCCGATTGCATGCCTATTAATGCTGGTGTTCCACAGGGCTGCGTGCTATCGCCAACGCTGTTTCTTCTGCATATCAATGACATGTTGCATACCCGTAACATTCATTGCTATGCAGATGACAGCACTGGTGATGCTCTTTACACCGGCCGAGCCAATATTTCTCGGGAAAACGTCTCCGAGTGCCGGGACAAACTTGTGTCTGAAGTCGAGTCTCTGCTGGACAGAGTCTCGGATTGGGGGCGACTAAATCTAGTCCAGTTTAATCCCCAGAAGACACAAGTTTGCGCGTTAACCGCTAAAAAGAACCCCTTTGTCGTATCCCCTCAGTTTCAAGGCACTCCCCTTGTTGCCTCAGCCAGTATCGGAATCCTCGGCGTCGACATATCGAGTGACGTGCAGTTTCGTGGTCACTTGGAAGGGAAGGCCAAATTGGCCTCTAAAAAGCTTGGCGTGCTCAGCAGAGCGGGACAGTATTTCATGCCGGCACACCGCCTGCAACTTTATAAGGCGCAGGTTCGGCCGCACATGGAATACTGTTCCCATCTCTGGGCTGGGGCTCCACAGTACCAGCTTCTTCCACTTGACCGCATCCAGCGCAGAGCGGCTCGAATCGTCGACGACCGAGTGCTTTCCGATCGGCTCGATTCACTGGCGCTGCGAAGAGATGTTGCATCTCTTTGCGTATTTTATCGCATCTATCACGGGGAGTGCTCTGAGGAATTGTTCGGATTAATCCCAGCCGCCAAATTTCGTGAACGCACTACACGTCAATCGTCCCGATACCATCCACACCATCTGGATGCTTGGCGGTCCACCACTGTACGTTTTACAAGGAGTTTTCTTCCACGTACAACCTCTCTGTGGAATAGTTTACCACCGGCGATTTTTCCGGACCGATACGACCTGGGGACCTTCAAGAAAAGAGCTTACTCCTTTCTAAAGGGCCGGCAACGCACCCGCAATTCTCCTGGTGTTGCGGTTGATCATGGGCGGCGGTAGTCACTTAACATCAGGTGAGCCGCATGCTCGTTTGCCCCTTCTTCTATAAAAAAAAAAAAAAAAAAAAAATGGGAAGCCATGCTCCTTCGAAGGCCAATTATTAAAATGTCGTAGTTATTGCCATGTGATGACAAATTCCTTCTACTTACACAAACACCCATCGAACTGAAAACCACAGACGTAGCGGCTAATCGCTCGCGCTACTATTTTGGCAGTACGGTCCGTCACTTCATTGATTTCGGGAATCGACGGCGTTAAAATAAGGTGGGTGTACCATGGAAGGCCACTTTAACAAATAAACAATTATTATTCGTTTATTTACTGGATAAACGAAACTAACAAATATTTAAGTAGGTAATACTTTGGTTTATTACGTAACATATAAACCACTTCTTTTTATTGTAGATTTAATCGCTATTTATTAAATTTTAGTGTTATGTGACTGATTTATTATAATGGCCTTCTAAGAAGCCTTGTTCCTAGCCAGGCCATTCGGAAGAGTTCAATGAAACTTAAGTTACATCAATATTGATTAAATCCGCAATTTAGAAAAGTGGTTTATGTTACGTAATAAAACAAAGTATTACTTAAATATTTGTTACTTTCATTTCTCTAGTAAATAAAAGAATAATAACTGTTTATTTGTTAGAGTGGCCTCCCATGATACACCCACCTTATTTTATAATCGCTATAAGGTCTATTATATGTTATTTCAAGGTTATCTATTAATTACCGGACAATCTGTAGAATATTATTTGGATGCATGATATATTAACAAGCATTCATATTCTATAACAACATATATATATATATATATATTGTTATATATTAATATATATTGTTGTATCTGAGAATCTATGTAAAAATATAAAGAGAGTGACACTCACAAAGTTTTCTTGCCCAGAAGAATCAGCAGGGCATCGACAATATACGCTGGCAGAAGATGAGTGAAAAAGAGACATATCTGATGCCAAAGCCAATACGATTTTATTGAACCACCGGGATACCATAACGCTACTGTGAATGGGTATATATCGAACCATTTTTTACCTGAAAGCAAATAATTATGGGCTTAAAAGTGAACGAGTAACAAATTAAGAAAAATAAAATTATAAAAAAGGAATTAAAACACAGTTCTTTTAGTAAGAAATTTCTGATAACATGAAAAGCTCAAAGTTTGAAAATAACTACTACTTACAGTGAGGAAAGGTACAAGAAAAACGCATAATTATTTCTATTTTTTTATTATAGTTATAATCATTGCCTGCCTCATTGGTTAATTAGTCGTATTGTGACTACTAATTATGAATTCCTGGCTTCGAATCCCGTGTCGGGCCAAAACTTGTTATTGGATTTTCTGTCGAGAAATTCTCAGGAGCAGCCCAGAATCAGGAAGTTGGCGGTGCTTGTTTGTGTCAGATTGTCGAGAGAATAGAGAGTGCATTTGTCTTGGCGCACACACTAGTGCACTATAATCCTGACATGCGCAGATGGCTAGTCAGAGATTGGCCGCTGTTTGGTCTGGACGTAATAATAATTATTATTAAGTCAATATTATCAACAGGTTACAGGATCACTGACACCATTAGACTTTTCTAAATTACGAGGGTTTGTGGTAATCGCTATGTTTGACAATCTAGATTTCTCATTTTATTTGACTGTTTCAGAAATAAAGTTTTTACTTATTTACAACTATTCTTTTTCTTTGTCAAGTAGCTAAAGTCCAACGTTGGTCTCTCTGAAGTGTTGATTTACTTAAAAAAAAAACACACACACATTAATGCTACTTACCCAGATCAATAATTTCTTTCCATGTAATCCTTTGCACTCCCGATAACGTTATGTTGTATATACGCATTTCCTTAGGTCTGTAATTTTGTAAATAATAATGATGGGTTGACTGGTGGAGAATGCCTCAAGGCATTAAGTCCGCCTTTTGTATTATTTTGGTTTAAGGAAGGCAATAAAGAATAAATAAATAATCAAATAATATAACAAGCTAAATTCAATTTAAATTGCCGATTTGTAAAACTTGCATAGGCATCTTTATCAATTATAAGTAACTTTACTACATTTATCTATATCGTCCCGTGAGTGTAATGAGAGGCGACATAGGGAAACTAACTGGTTAGTTTAACCAAGAGATGGGTAGCAGCGTCTACAGAACAAAAAAAATTAAACTATTGTTGAATAAAACTAAATTTACGGATTTTATCGCGTTTATTTCACCACTTTTACTTATTTTTTTTTAATTCCCGACGTTTCGGGTGCTTTACAGCAACCATGGTCACGGGGGGGACTGAGATGTTTGACGTCCCAATGTCATAGTTAGTCCGGCTACCTTCAGTTTTTGAATATTAATTTTTGGTCCGATTTACGCAAAACGAGCTTATAGTATCATGAAGTCTTGCAGCGGTATGCTTAGGTTTGGGTTTAATTTTGTTAATTATAGGATCCCAAGCAGGTGGCAGCACCCATCCATCTTCTCTATTGAAATTTGGATGTTTTTTAATTTCAATAGCCTCGCGTATCATCCTTGGTAGGAATCGGTGTTCTTTTGCGAGAATTTGTGGTTTATCAAAACGAATGTAATGGTGGGGACGATCTTGAACATGTTCGCAGACTAAACTATTCGCAGAATAAACTATTGTTGTTGCCAACCGTGATAACTACGTTATAGTAAGTAGGAGGAAATCTATAAGTGAGACCTTTGTTCAGCAGTGGACTTTTAGTAGGCTGTAACGAACAAACGAAGTTGCTTTATAATCGTTAATCTACCTTTTATAACAGATTTTACAACGTTACGGACTTATCTGGTTTTCGAAACTGAAGCCGATTTCAGACATTTACAGACCTAAATACTTGTTGTGTGGATATGACTGGCTCGTTGGTCTAGTGGTTGTAGTAGTGCGACTGCCGATCATGAGGTCCTGGGTTCGAATTACGGGTCGGGCCAAAAATCAATTATTGAGTTTTTCTCTCAAGAAGTTCTCAGTAGCTGCCGGAGTCAGGAAGTTGGCCGTGTCTCACCCCCGTGCCTCGGAAAGCACGTAAAGCCGTTGGTCCTGCGCCTGATCTCTCTCCCGGTCGTGTCGGTTTACCGTCCCACCGGATAACGAGAGCGAGGGAATAGAGAGTGCACCTGTGCTTGCGCATACACTTAGGCACTATAATCTATATAATCGGAGTCTCTGAAACGGCTCCAACGATTTTAATAAAATTTAGTGTATAGGGAGTTTCGGGGGCAATAAATCGATCTAGCTAGGATTTATTTTTAGAAAATGTCTTTTTGTCCGTGTTTTCAGGCAATGAAAAACTGCTACAATATAACAAGGTAAATTTTGACAGTGCGGTCGCGAAATCTAAATGCGATGGTTCGCGTCCTGTCCTCGTCCCGACTTTTTTTCCTTTTTATTTCAAGTTCCGTTCTTTTGTGAGAAAATTTATCATTTCGAGCCCTTTTTTTTTAGTATTTTTTAAAAATACGAAAGTTTTAATTAAACTAATTGCATATTTTTTTTTTTAATTAAAACCGAGCAAAGCTCGGTCATCCAGGTACTTATTATTACTAGACCTAATTACTCACAAGTACCAACATATAGTACTTGGTGTGCCGATAGTGGCTGTTTAGTTATTCATTGCCAGAGTCACAAGCATGTCTAAATCCTCACAATTTGTAACACAACTAATACCGTTCTTTGGAATTATTTGGATTACGTATATGTCATACATATATATGTATGCCATATGTCCGTTTTTCTGTATGGTACGTTTTGAATATTGTCAGTCCAATTTTCGGGTTTTTGCCTCGATCGTTACTTACCTATCAAGAGCTGTAACGTAAGCAATCAAAATGCATCCGTTAACGACAACGTCGACTGGAATAGCGTCCGCTTGATACGATGGTTCACAGTGCATTGTGCGGATGACACCTAAATATAAAATAAATTATTAATTGTAGTAAAAAATGAGATAAAAGGTGATCAATCGGCCGATTTCTTTCTGTGGATGACGTAGGAGGTGACTGAGAAAAATTTCTGGAAGATTTCATGCTTTCGTATAGATTGCTTTATAAACGTCTAATTTACGCCAGATGTAAAATACCCAAGCCGGTCACGGGAGGAAGCATCACTTGTGTATGACGTTTGATTAAGTATAAGTGTGGTAAAAAACACAAATTCTTTCTACAAGCGAGCGAGACCGACCCATGACTAGCCTTAAATCTATATATACGGGCCAACTACCCGTACTTCTCCGTCCCGTCACCGTCACTTTATGATGATTTAATTCATTAACATCATTATATAGCGTACAAATATTCCACTGCTTTTTTAAATAAGATTAGGGTGAAAAACGAGCACACCCATAGACATCTACATCTATCCTCGATTACGAATCAAAATGCAGATGCGTTCTCATCCGTGAGGACTAAGATGGAATGCCTCGTTTCCAGTAAAAAGGGTCTCCGGTTCTCTAAACCTCAGCATACGAAATACAGCGGAGTTAAGCAACTATTTTACGTTGGTATTCTGTGAGAGCGTGGTCCTTTCCCGGTCGAGCCGACCCATTCGTGCTACAACTATACCAGTAATATGGCTGCAGCATGGCTCTACCACGTATAAAACACGGACACTGCTTAACAATAGAATTCTCTATTTGTGAGAATTTTTCGCAAAAAAATGTTACATGATTGGTTATTTTACGTAATATATCACAGTAAAACAAAAAAGTGAAGCCGAAATCAACAACACATTATGGCATTTTCTTCTTCTATTATTTTTCTTCTCATTAGTCCGTAATATTTCACCGCTGTCCTCCTCCATTGCAGGTAGGATTTGCCATTATCGACACGCTTGGAATGCATGTCTATCGTAGCATCTGAAGTCTGATACCTTTGAAACCGCTCACATTCGCCGGTTTGGGCACTTTACATTTGGGTTAAAGAAGTTTTAAATTTTTCTAGCATTTCTAATAGTCGTCTCTTACGGTACTCCATGGGAAGAAATTGTGAGGTGGATCCTCTTACATCAAATATTGCGACAATTTTCATTTTTTTGTCTACTTCAGTCAAAAAGTAGATTACTAAGATATTTTTAATGAGAAATCTATGAACAACCCTCCAACGGGGGAGGACCATGTACAGCGGAGAAATTATAAGGGCCGTTTACTAATTATAGTTTTGAAATCAACAAGAATATTGTTCAAAGAATATGTGCAGAGAGGTGTAAGATAGGGTGATGTTATATCCTCGAAACTTTTTACCGCTGCATTGGAAGACGTTTTCAAGCTACTTGACTAGGTAGGATACGGTTTTAACATCAATGGCGAGTACATATAATGCTTATGGAAGAATCGCTAAACTACTTAAGCACTATGCTCAATGACGTCAATAATGCCTCTCAAAGGATAGGTCTTAAGATGAACATGGACAGAACAAAGATCATGTGTCGTCCATGTCACACCTATGCCAGTAGTTGTTGGGACCACTAAGTTCGAAGTGGTTGAAGAGTATGTTTACCCAACTCTAATAGTCTGACTAGGCAAGTCAACTGCGATCGAGAGGTCAAACGATGGATTCAACTCGGCTGGGCAACGTTTGGTAAATTACGACACATTTTCTCGTCAGGTACCTCAAAACTTGAAAACGAGATAGTACAACCAGTGCGTGTTGCCAGTTGCTTATGGATCTGAGACGTGATCCTTCACTACTGGCCGTATGAGGAAGTTCAAGGTCGTTTAGCGACCTATTGAGAAGCTTAAATTCGAAGTTTCTCTGCGTGAACGATGAACATAGAAATGGGGATGTCCGCAGTAGAACCAGAGTAACCGACATAGCCCAACAGATTAGTAAGATGAAGTGGCAATGGGCTGGCCATATGGCTTGAAGAACCGACAACCGATGGGGAAAAAAGGGTTTCGAATGGCAGCCTCGTACCGGTAGGCTCACTAGACGGAGTGAAAACCTGGTAAGACATGCAGGAAATCGATGGATGCAGGTGGCCGAGTAACGTGCTTTCTAGCATTCTTTGAATATGCCTATGTTCAGGAATGGACTTGTGAAGGGCTGTAATGATGATGATGATGATGAAAAATGTGCAAAACCAAACCTTTTCCACTGCCAATGAGAAGTCCAGTTGGGCCGTTCATGTTGTCTACCCAACCGGGAAGTGGCTCTTTCCATGCGGATGTGACTATAAAGAAAAAAGTTATATCTATTTAGGTTTAAATATTATTTTTGCACACTGGTAACTGCTTTTTTGATAGTAACATAAATATTATTACGAAAGAGGCGCTTAAATATTATATTTAATTATCCTAAAAGATTTCATATTTAAAATTATAAATGCAAAGCAAGTAGAGAAAAAAATATAGTCAGCTTATCAAATGTAATTAGGTCACAAATAAGTCTTTCTATATTTGATTCTTACCCACAGATTACCTAATCTGTGTTCTTACCTAATAAGAAATTACAGTTTTTTATGAAATAAGCTAATGTATTTTTTTAAATTTTTATTAATCTAAGTAATAACCCATGAAATCTATGCATTTTTGCCAACGAAGAGGTAATTTATTTATGCCTTTCTTGAAAAAATCAGCTGGACGGGAGGCAACAAATTCTTCAAAGGCGTTTTGTACTGCTTCTTTGCTCTTGATTTTTTTCCCGCCAAAGATCGTCTGTTGTGCAGTATGAGGTCACGTGTTGTCATGCAGGAGTAGCGAGAACGAGTTAATGGCCAAAGCTGGTTGGAGAATGCGAGATTCTCCTTCATTGTGTTTAATACTTCACACTTGACATCTGTAATAATGCTCATCCCGTTTGGTAAGAAGCTGTGATGAATCACACCGGTACTAGACACATTTATATGGCCATCACTTTTATAGGTGTAAGTTTTTGTTTAGGGTATTGTTTAGGTGCTGAACCAAGATCAAAGCAACGTTAAAAATAATCCATTTTTCATTGCAGGCAGCAGCGATCCAAAATTTCTTCGTTTGTGTGCCTGTTGAGCAGTGCAAAGTGTGTCTCAACACGTACTTTGCGCTGATAATCATTGGCGATCACTGGCGAGTTCGTGTGGCACCTATTTGTCAAGCTTTTTTATCTTGTAAATTTTACGTTAATGGACCAATATTGTTTTGGTGCCAACATCGAAAGCTGCTGCTTATTCAGCCGTAGACTGAGTATCATCAGCTTCCACAATCGTCTAATTTGTCATAGTCGATAAAAGTTTTCGGACGACCACGGGTCCATTTTTCAGGTCGAAATTTCGAGAAAGGAAGCCGGTAAACTAATAACAGGTGGTGCATTGGTTTGTAGTATTCGCTCCATAAACGTCGTTGATGTTGTGTGCCGCTTGTGTCGCGTTGCTGGCATGATGGTACTCATATTCAATAATTACTCGAATTTTTGATGTATTCATGATGACGAAAAAGATTCAAATGCGATGAAAACACAACTTTAATCAGTAAACAATTGACTAATTTTGAAAAAAGAATTTCATGTTTTTTAAATAATATTAATTTGAAATTAGAATTCTTAGCAAAACAAAAATTATTTTTATTTGGAATGGCCAGTACTACAAAGCGGTAATTTCATAGATAAAAACTAAATACTGATTTCAACGAAATTTTATATACTGGGTTTGATTCAACTAACTTAATAGATATATTGTATAGAAATATATTGTAAATAAAAATTTGCTCTAATGTCATTATCCGGGCAAAAATAGAGTAATACTTTTGTATGGACTGAACACCGCCCGAATATCAGCTCACTGCCTATAATGAATTATTAAATTAATTCAATGTTCTCACCAATAGACGGTCGTCCAATAGCAACAGGAAATTTTGAATTGTATTCTGCGACTAAATTTTCAGTAATTGCTTTTGTATAGGAATAGGTATTTGGTTCCACAGCAATAAGTCTGCAAATAAAAGTAATGTCATAATTACTCTTTATCTTCCATGCAACGATTCATCCATTATATCCTACATAGGTCTACTGCTGAGCATAGACCTCACAGGGAGTATTTTGCTTTAGGTGCAACGTTTGGCTGACTGGTTAGCAACCAGTTTTAGTTCCCCACTGTCGGCTCTTACCACACCGACGGGACGATATGGGCTAGTGGATATTCTTATACCACCAATATACGGTTTAGTTCCACTCTTTACTTTATAACCATTTAACAATTGATAGAATGCTTTGTTGGTCTAGTGGTTGTAGTAGTGCGACTGCTAATCATGAGATCCTGGGTTCAAATTCCGGGTCGGGCCAAAAAACAATTACTGAGTTTTTCTTTAAAGAAATTCTCAGTAGCTGCCCAGAGTCAGGAAGTTGGGGTTAGCACATAAGGCCATTGGTCCTGCGCCTAATCTCTCTCCGGTCGTGTCGGTTTACCGTCCCATCGGATTATGAGAGTGAGGGAATAGAGAGTGCATACACTTGGGCACTATAATCCTGTCCTGCGCCGATCGCTAGCCTCCGTTGAGGTAGGCCGCCGTGGCTGAAATTCGGTCTGGAGGACATTATTATTATTAATAATTGATAGATATTTTTCATTAATACAGAAATAATTTACGTACTTAGGTTCCAAATAATCAAGCGTCGCGTCATCCATCCACTTCACGATCTTAATGATATGTTCCGGTTTGTGCATAGCCGGGTACAATTTTTCTTCCAGTACATCCAGTTCACAACGGCAGTATGCTGTGGAGAGGTGTACAAAGGCCTGAAAATTTCAATCATTATTAAACATCATAATAAATAACTGGTAGGTGTCATCATATAATGTGCTGCGACGCTGACGAATAAATGCACTGAAGGCTAATTTTTAGCAGGTAGCTTGAAAGCTCATTTTGCTCTGGGCTAACTTCAACCTTATAGCATAAATATTTACCGGGCATTAGTAGGTTAAGAGTGAGAGTCCAGTGGCGTAGTTTTACTGTGTGGTAAGACTTCCTTTCTGCTTTCGAGTCCGTCTGGGTAAGTACCACTCTGTACAATGACAGGCTGTGAGACACCACATCTCACACCCTGATTTTAACAATTGTTTTGAAAAAAAAATATTTTTATAATTATATCGTATGTGCTTGTGTGTGTGCAGATTGTCTCTATTTTCAAAACATTCAATGCTACAATGTTCTTCTTCTTGTTTTAGATTGCAAAATGCCGCCCCTTTAAATTTGCCGCTCAGGGCCAGGTCACCTTGGTTCATTAACCTTCAGTTAATTTTGATAAATTTCTTACCAAGTAGTACTTGAAACTCCCGTTGTATCCAGACCAGAAAGCGAACAAATAGAGTTTCTGGACAAATGCTTGAATTCGAAGTAAGACAAATGACGCAGAAGTCTGATAACACACATCTTAATTAACTTTATTTTTGGTGCAAATACAAGTAAAAGTGATACCTTACCTCTAAGTTCTTCATAGTTTCAGCTAATTTTAGCACCCGCAATGTTCCCGTAGTATTTAAGTTAACCGCGTCTTTTAATTTTTGATCAAATCTAAAAAGGAAACAGTATTTTTAAAGGATAAGAAAATGAAATACCAGAAGAAATACATATTTGGATATAACTACAATCATATCGATGTACATTTTGTATACAACAAATATAATAGAAACAATTAAACAACTGAACTTTGATATCTAAAATGAAAACCGATACAATGATAATTAATATATACTTCATAGAGTTTATGATAAAACTCATTTTTTTGCTTATTATCTCTTATGGAGTCAACAGTTACCGGATTAAATTAGTTAGACCGATCAGAAAAGTTGTTCCACCTTACAGCAGATTTGCACGTGAGGAAATCTTTACGTCGAAAAAGTAAAATATTTCGATAACATGTGAATTCCGTCAACACGTCCTAGAGCACTGCGGCAGATTAATTGCTCATTTTAATTAAGGTTTAATATTCCTGTCGGAAATGGGAGCAAAAGCCTGTTTTCAGTTGAGGGGCGAATATTGGAGGTAATTTCAGTTCTTGCCACATACCTGACGCATGCTGCGCTGTGGAAAACTATATTACAGTTTTGTTGCAATTCCTGCCTGTCATCATTTGATATGCCAAGATCTTCTTCGAGTATGTCTCCAGGTACGAGCTTCAGCTTATCAAAAACTTCTGGTTGCTTTGTATTTAAATTTTCAAAACACTGAAAAGTATAAATATTATTTTTTCTATTAAAATTAAATTCAAAAATAGATTTTGATTATTTTTTGTAACAAGAATTAAAAACAAGAAAAAATAACTAGGAAAAATATTTTGTGATACTTAAAATAAGTGATAATGATAAAAATTAAACCATTAAAATAAAACCCTTAATATAACTAAACAGAAGTTTTTATTCTTCTTTAATATAAATCGGAAGGGACGAACGAATTTACATTCCATCTGATGGATATTATAATTCAATGTAAAAATCTTCGGCCGTAATATGTTCTCCAAATATCAATCTTACCTTCAGTTGCTTTTATGTCCATCCGAACCCTAAGTAATGCATGCAATTTCTAGCATGTTTTAAGAAAGATTTAAGACCAGCAATGGAGGTCCAGCTGGTCTTAGGTCGGTAAAAGACTGTTAAAGAAATATTAAATAACTCCCATTTTTATAGTATAACAACGAGAAACGAGCACACATGATGGTACGTAGATTATATGGATATGGCAAGGAAAACATCGTGAGGAAACCTGCATGTCTGAGAAATAAGAAAAAAATATTTCGAAGACATGTGAAGTTCGCCAACACGCATTGGGGTAGCGTGGTGGACAATTCCTTGCCCTAAAACCCTCTCAGAAATGAGGGGAGGCCTGTGCCCAGCAGTGGGACGTATATAAGCTGTAACTTTACTTTACTTTACTTTAAGTAGATTATGTGGCCCATAGGCATCTACATTTATCCTTGATTAAAATCAAAATGCAGATGCGTTGTCACTCCTGAGAACTAAGATAGAAAGCCTCGTTTCAAGTTAAATGTTACAGCGTTAAGCTGCTATTATATGCCGGTATTCTGTGAGAGCTTGGTCCTACCCCGGTCGAGTCGATCCATTCGTGCTACAAACATAATGTTGCGCGCCTAAGTTGACGTCATGTACCCGGCACTAGCGCCATCTAGTGTCGGGGACGAGAGCGAGGAGAGCTTACCAGAAAATGACATGACTAATATTTTAACCAACAGCGTCATCTAGTATCGAATTGAAGAACTAAGCTTTCTAGAAGCTCTACACTCGAACTTTCGGGGCTCCTACATCTGCAGCACCTGACTTAGGTGCTCTGATGGCGATGCTACAGGAGCAGCTGCAACGCGGACGAGAGGAACAGGCCCATCTGTTGAAAGAGCAGCAGGAGGAACAAAATTACCACAATCAATTAATCAGAATTCCCACAGATCTTCCCTTTCAATTCAAAATTTCCTATTTAGCTCAGTTTCTTTTCAATTCCAAATACTGCACCTCTGACGGACCTATTAAGTTCAGTTTCCTTTCAACTCAAAAGGCTGCATCTCTGACGGATCTTTTATTTGGCTCAGTTTCCTTTCAATTCAGAAAACTGCATCTCTGACGAATTAATTTAGCTCAGTTTATTTTCAAAAGTAAAATTTTTAGATACGCAGCAACAAAATAAAAGCAAAAATCTACAGGACTTTAAAACCAGTACCACTAACTAGCTGTGTAAATTATATGGTAAGACGTTGTATTTATAGGCGAGATATCGACTTTTTGCATGCATCATATCCTTGAAAATTACATAAGTATTTATTACTGGCAAACGCGTGTAAAATAGTATTTATTTTTGCAAAATTTTACTTCAGTAATAGAATCTACTCATCGGAAAGCCATTCGATTAAAATTAATTAGCTTAGATCCACGTCATTTTTTACTTTTTATAAGCCAGTGATTGACCACAATGCCACAAGGCTTTGAGATCGAATATCACAGCGGCAAATCTCATGGCAACGCAGATGCATTGTCAAGAAGACCTTGTCCTGAAGATTGCAAACATTGTACTAGGCAAGAGAGTAAGGAAGTGGTATCCGTGAGGATGCTCAGGACAGACCACCTCAGCAACGAGTGGAAGGACAGCCTACGACATGCACAGCAGGAAGATCCGGACATCAAGCCGATTCTGGAATGGACGAAGGCATGTGCTATCAAGCCTAAGTGGAGCGACGTCTCAGCGATGAGGTCGATCACCAGAAGCTATTGGGACAGCTTGCTGATTCAGGATGGAGTCCTGTGCCGTAAACCGTCGATGAATGTCTGCACCAGGTTCCCTTCAATGAGCGCAGGTACAGACCGGTATACTTTTCGCACCAGCTTCTCCACCTCTAGAGCCCACTGCTGCAGATTTTCGTTGATGAGCTGCACGCGATCTTTAAGCTGCGCACGAAAGACGTGTTCCAGGTGAGCGTCGCCATATCTCGCCTCCAATGCCTCAAGGAGCTGCTCAAAGTCACTTCCTCACCGAACATCCAGAATATTCAAGTAAATACGCGCGCCAACCGACCAGGCGCCGAAGGTTCGAGTGTAGTGCTTCTAGAAAGTTTAGTTCTTCAATTCGATACTGGATGGCGCTGTCGGTTGAAAGATTAGTCATGTCATTTTCTGGAAAGCTCTCCTCGCTCTTATAATGACGAGAGAAATGAAACGCTTGAGTGTTGACGTAAGACTGACTGTAATTACGTTATTAATAAGTTTATATATTAGATTATACCCAAACATACGTATAGGTACTAGGTAGATGCTACACTCTGTTACCCGACACTAGATGGCGCGCAACACTGCCCCCTCCTAAGACATGCTCGTCCCGAGCATTATCGGCCCCATAATAACGCGCCAGGCGATCCACATGGACGATCTTAGGAGTCCCTCTTGCGCCTTTCTGTAACGGCTCCGCAATATCTAGGGCTGTCCTATCCCATGGTGCAGCAACATTGTACAATTTCGATGCTCCTCTACTACGTGTCTGAGGTCCCCTCACAGCCGCACAACTTGTACATGTGCGACACCAATCCTTCGTCCCGATAATGGACCTAGTAAAACTGTTCTCGGATCTTCAGTAGTAGTAGTAGTAACAATAATATAGCTGCAGCGTGGTTCTACTACGTATAAATAAATTCCTCTTAATAAAAATATTAGGTTTCTATTGTGATCAGTATTTAAATAATGTTTTAGTTTTGTTTATACAAGTCAACAATTTGCATCTACAGTGCTTGTATTTATCTGTTCTACTGATTTTTTATAATATGAGTAATTCACCATATACATAATTTTTTATTATCAAATGATGATGATGACCAATTATGGGCAACAGAAAGTCGACCGATGTATGGAATGTGGTTTGTGATATCTCTAGAGGGTAGGTCTATGTCCAGTTGTGGACTTGTGATGGGCACTACTAATGATGATGATGATAATATTTTTGCAGGAATGCTACATATTGCAGCTTATTGTTATCCATAAATAGTTAGCTAATTTAACGGCAAATTATTTTTAGCTTATAAATATGACATTTAGCTAAATACCAATAGGAGGTTTTTATTGATTCGTATGAAACTACTTACATAGCATGGACATTAAACAAAACTAAAAGATTATTTAAATACTGATCACAATAGATAACCCTAATATTTTCTATTATCCAAATAGCTAAGCAGTGAATTTATTTCGAAAAATACCATGTTAAAAAATTTGAGTGGCAGATTAAGTAATATATGTACGATATAAGGCAAATCAAGTGAAGCGTAAGACATGTTTGAAAATCTGTAAGAAGGAAATTGTATTATGAACTAATCTTATTTGAATTTCAGGATTTAGTGCATAATTTAACCTTGTTACTGCGTAGTTCTTTTAAGCGTTCGTCGCTACTTAGGCCTTTCTTCTGTCTTAAAAGTAAGTAAATGTTGTTGATTCCACTACAACTTCTCAGGAGTTTTTCTATCAGAACCTAAAAATAAACACTTGTATCAGCTAAGTTCTGGTTAATGTCACTTTTTGGTTAGTTTAAGATTAGTAAAATACGTTGCTTTAATATCTTGCAACACTGAAAATTGAGGCGCGTGTGTTTGTTTACCTCATTTCCTGAACGTTTGTCGGTAAGTCTAGAATTTTAATACTTATTTACCGTTGGTTTCTTTTGTAGGTATTAAAACAATAAATTTGCGATGACGAAAACTCTTTTAAATAATTGCATCTGGTGTTTAGTTTCATCTAATACAAAACGATAGTTTGGGGTAATGACGCTCAAATGAACGCCTTTACTCCTGTGTGATGTTTTTTGTAGCAGATATTTTTTCTTTTTATAGGATACGGTTCACCTGATGGTAAGTGGTTAAGTGACCGCCGTCAATGAACAACTACAACACCAGGGCAATTGCAGATGCGTTGCCGGCCTTTTAAAAAGGAGTAGGCTCTTTTCTTGAGTCCCTAAGTCGTATCGGTCCAGAAAAATCTCTGGTGGTAGTTGATTTCACAAGGAAATTGTGCGAGGAAGAAAATTTCTTTTAAATCGCACTGTAGTGAATCCGGCAGTCATCCAGATGGTAAGGATGATATCGCGAATTTTATTACTATGTGTGATGGTGAAATTGTGCGGCTGGAATTAGTATGAAGAATTTCTCAGATCACTTTCCGTGTTAAATGCGATAAAATATGCAAAGAGATGCAATATATCTTCGCAGTGCTAGTGAATCAAGCCGATCGAAAAAAGCACCAAGCGGGAAAAGGACCTACACGCTAAAACACAATATTATGTCTGTATAATATTCATTACAGCCTACTAAAGTCCACTGCAGATAGCATCTGCAGTTCTTTTATTACTTTGGGTTGTTATCAAAAAGATGCTACACCCATCTCCTGATTCATTTCTCTCTATCGCCTTTTTACGAAACCTTTGAAATATGGGGTAGTGGATTCTCTTGATGTGGATTCACCTACACCTCACTACAATAGGTTATCAAGCAGTTTCTATTCCATGGTTTTAATATGTCACTTTCTTGTTTGTCTGTGTGTCTGTCGGTCGTTCCGGGTGAAATCTTGGAACTCAAATTTCGAGCACTTCCCGATGACCAAGATACTTGAAATTTTAAACATGGCTCAGAATTGAATAACAATGTAGGAATGTAAAGTGTTACGAGTATATTCTTTTTTTTAGTACAAAAAAAAATCATTTGTTTACTTACTTTGCCCAAAAAACCAGTACCTCCGGTTATTAAAATTGATTTTCCAGTATAAAACTCAGTCACGGATGGTTTCATTTCGTTTTCTCGTCAAATCCTGTAAATCAAATTGTAAATAAAATTTTCCTTTTTTTAAATATTATTTATTAAATTACACAAACAAACAAAAAGTTAAAAGTATTACAAAAAAGCGTAAGTACCTACAGTATATGTACGTACATTCAACATATACTACAATAATTATATTACTATAAGCAATAAGTAAGGAGTGAAATAAAAAAGAGTTACTATCACGAAAAAAAACTATTAAGCAATATAAAAGAATATTTAACGTATTAAATTTGTAATATGTAATTTTAATTTATTCTTAATAGTTTTTTAAAGCACAAATGTGCGGCAGTAAAAATATCAATACCGCTAAAATGGTGTTTATATGCTTGTACTATGCGCCTCGATAGGAAAAGGAGGCATCGGTTTCGGATATTGATGATTTTCGGTGTTGTCATTGCATATGAGAAAGACTTGTAATAAAATGCCTCTACTGGTATTTTCATCCTTTGATAAATGTGCCCCTCCCTGCCCGCTTTGTGTGTTGGTCTAGGTCTAGAGGGGACAGGGAAGGGCTCCTAACTCAAAAAAATGTAGTCAAATTCATCAACTAGTCTCATTTCTTGTACAATCCGGAGCTCGTCGAGCTTTACACTTTGGAATTTGTACCGTTATTATTATTAATATGAGGCAGGACTCACAATAGAAGTGCTATTGTACCTACACTTTCCCATTCTCTATATGTGAACATAGACCATCCCTAGACCATCAACTTGCAAGGCCCTTGTTTTCATCCAAATACAATGTGGTTGTCTTCAAAAGAGTTAGTAGGTTCATACCATCTAGTAGTATTTGTAAGAGATTATTGTAATAGTGATGGGTAAGGTAAGTATGAATAAATCAGTCTCAACTCGATCTCGGTGTTTGATTGTTGCGTGCCCGTGTTCTCGTGGCGCAACCGGTAGGATAAATAAGTTTATTAAGTATATTACAAGTTAATTTGAATAGTGTTCAGTTTAATAATTATGGAAGGTGTCTAAAGTCCATCAAAACCATTTCGTTTCGCTCAGACTACGCAAGTTTAAGTGCTAGTTGGACAAAATGGAGGAATAGCTATGAAATTTATACAAAGGCATATGAAATAACGAATAAAGCGGCGAGTGTACAGATTAATATATTGTTGCACGTACTTGGTGATCAGTGCCGAGATATTCTAGACCAAAACAAAGATTCACCTTTAAAATGCACTACCGTGGAAGCTGTGTTACAAATATGGGATGGACATTTTAATATAAAACCTAATGTTACAGTGGAACGACACCGATTTTTTACATGAAACTAGAAGGAAAATGAGACCGTAGAGCAATATGTTTTCGACTTGCAGAAATTGGCCCAAACATGCGAATTCGGGGCTCTAAACGACGGTCTTATAAAAGATAGGTTGATATGTGGCGTATCCAATTCAGCTATTTGGGAACGGCTACTAAGGGAGGACGATCTTACTTTAAGTAAAGCATTAGAAATATGTCGAGTCGCAATAGTATCGAGGGTGTATGCGGATAACATTAAACAGGAGCAGTTATCAGCATGTTCTATCAATAATAATCAAGCGGTCGAAAATGATGAGAATATTAGGAATGTGCGGCACCGGATGGATTCAAGGAGAGGATATCGCGGCGGCGCAGGTGGCGTAAGCGGGGACGCACGCAGAGGCGGACGCGGCGTACGCGGCGGCGCAACCCACCCGGCACAGCGCCCGTCGCCGCGCGCTCGTGGCGTTCCTCCACAGGTTCGACGCCTTGAATGAAGCAATGTGAACATTGTGGCAGCGTACACAAAAAGTTTGAGTGTCCCGCGTATGGCAAGCAATGTCTAAGATGTGCGAAAATTAACCACTTTGCCAGAGTCTGTGGTGCTAGTGTATTCAATGTCGAGGAGTCCGATGAGCAGGCAATACATACTGTAAAATCTAGTAGTGAGTGGAATGTTAACCTGATGATAAATAATAAGTCTGTCAACTTTAAATTAGATACTGGGGCAGATGTTTATTTATTGCCGTTATATAATTTGCCACAAATTGGGGTCTCGGATAAAGATTTGCTAAAAACAAATACCAAGTTGTCTGGCTACTCGGGTACCGCCACTACAAAAGTAGTAGGAAAAATAACTGTAAAAGTTTAATACAAATGTAAAATGTACATGCTAGAATTTAAAATAGCAGATGTTAAGTCTATGCCGGTCTTGGGCAGGTTTGCGTGCAGTGAGTTGGATATGGTGAGGCATGTGATGACGATACAGGAGGATAAGGGAGTTCCCTCATTTTTAGGGCAGTATGATGACGTTTTTCAGGGTATAGAATGCTATCAGGGTATAGGTGCAGCTTTCCAGCACTGACTATACACAGCACGATGAAGTTTGCGCGATCACAAGAGATACGGCATTGAGCGCAGCGACTGAAGTTACGGACTTACAGTTTATTAAGTTGCAAAAGAGTTCAGAAAATGATGAAGAACTCATGTTGTTGAGAACATACAAAATAGAGTGGTGGCCCGCAAACAAACATGACGTCATAGATTTCGTAAAGCCATATTGGGGCTAAAAAAGAGAATTTATCAATCGCGTATGGTCTAGTCTGGAAGGATCAAAGGATAGTGTTGCCAAAACTCTTAAGAAAAGATTTATTGAACAAGATACACGTCGGTCATGTAGGGTTGCAAAAATGTCATTTGCTGCCAGGGAGACAATATTTTGGCCAGGAATAAATAATGATTTAAAAAAAATAATTTATAAGTGTAGTATATGCCTAACGTACAGGAAGCACAACCAAAAAGAAGAGATGCAACCTCACGAAATTCCCGACATATAGGCAAAAGTATGTACAGAAAAAGTAAGTAGGCCCGCAAAAAAAAATAGTTTTCAAACTGTACTGTACCTTGTACAGCCTCATCTAATACAATAAATAACAATAATTATTATGTCACACGTTCCGGCAGTACAGTGAGGCCACCGGATAGATTGGGCTTCGAACACTGAATAGCGGTGATGAACAGCTGCGCAGCCGCGTCGCCACAGTAACCGTGTTCAGTGAAAACATAACTATAAATTGTAATGTATGAACAAATAACGAAAATAAAAGTATTTAAAAAAATGTAAACACTATCAAAGTCATACATGATAGTTTTATTTATTTATTTGGTTAACCAGCACAGTATGCACATTTATCATGCCAAAGGTCCCAGGTTCGATTCCCGACGGGACTTTAATTTGTGTGAATTAGTACATTACTTTAGATTTATAACTTTGGAAATGAAATGTAATTGGTTTATGACTTCAAAAAAATAAGTATTACTTATTAATAAAAAGGAATTGATTAGATTTAAAAAAACGGATAAGTAATAATATAATTTAAGTGAATAAATAAACATTTCATACTCAAATTTCATTTTAGTGCTATTGATTTCATAATTATTTTTTCTTATTTGTAAGATAGGGGAAACGTCGGGTATTAAAATTAATATAAATAAAACGCGATAAAATCCGTAAAAGTAGTTTTAATCAAGATAGGGGAAGATGAGTAGTTAGAGAGATATAATTCAAAATGATGTATTATTAATCAGAATAATTAACTAATTTAATATATATAATATTGTATACCTACTAAACTATTTATGGTGAAATTATCTTACTATTTTTGTGATAAAAATATGCAAGAGTAAATTACTATTTTGATTTTGTTTCTTATTATTGAGAAGGGAGATGTAAGAGATTATTTATTTATTTATTCTTTTTTGTACACCACAATACAGAAACATCAATATAGTTAAAACTAATTAAAGTATGTACAATAGGCGGTCTTATCACTGAAAGTGATTTCTTCCAGACAACCTTTGCGTAGAGGAATGTTGCAAACAAAAGTTACAAATAGAGGGGGGGCATACAAAATAATAATAATAGTTAAAAAAATACAATAATACATACAAATAAAAATAAGTGAAAGTTATATATAAAATATCATATAATAGATTAAATGAAAAGAGTACGAGAAAGGTAAAGTAATTTATCTATATCTATCTAAATAATACGATTTAACAAGAATTTTGAAAGAGTGAAGATATTTAGCACGACGAATATGGAGAGGTAAGGAGTTCCACAATCGCACAGCGGTTACGGTGAAGGATTTCTTGAAAAAGGAAGAAGAGTGCAAAGGTGTAGAGAGAGAAAAATTGACGGATGATAGAAGGAACCGATTATGGGTAAGAGAAAGATACTGGAAACGGTTTTTTAAATAAAGAGGAGTAGAAGAATTAAACAGCACACTATACAACGCGGAGAGAATGTGAGTATTCCTGCGAAGGCGGATCGGGAGCCATTTGAGCTGTTTGCGAAATTCGGAGATATGATCATATTTGCGAAGCCCAAATATAAATCTAATGCATAAATTTTGAATGCGCTCAAGTTTATTAAGCTGCTCCTCGGTAATGTCAAGGTAGCAAATATCCGCAAAGTCAAGGATAGGCAGAAGTAGAGACTGAGCGAGCGTAACTTTAGTTTCTGTGGGAAGAAAATTACGTTTCTACGTAAAGAGCTTAACGCAGCAAACATTTTTCAACTGACCTCATTAACCTGTGAGGTCCAAGACATACAGGGTTCAAGATACAACCCCAGGTTTTTAACTTTGTTACTGTAAGGGATTAGAGTGCAGTCAAGTATAATAGGGGGTAGGGAAGACCAGTCAATTTTACCAATTAATCTAGAACTACCGATGACAATGGCCTGAGTTTTCTTAAGATTAATCGTTAAACCATAACATTTACTCCAATTCGAAATACAATTCAGATCAGCGTGAATATGTACGCTTATATCTTCAAGAGAGAAAAATGAAACAAAGAAACAACACAAAAAAACAAGTAACTTCGAAACCAGTCAACTACAGTTGGAGATATGTTGAGAGAGCGTAAGATGCTTAACAAGATATCAAAATCTACAGTATTAAATGCGTTACTAAAATCAAGCAACGTGAGAATGGTAAG